GGAACAGAAATAAGTCAATTAATGTGTCAAAAACATGTCTTTGGTTTTGATATATATCCTTATTTCTTCTTTTTTTCCCTTAGAACTTTGCATGACATCAAACATAAAAACTCAGACAGTGCCTTCCTGTGACAAACACCATTTTGGATACTGGTATAACATGGGCCACCCTGCAGTGCTTTGTGTAAGTTCTGAGATTGTAAGCACATATTTAGGCAAAGAGCGAAACCAGTGTGAAATTGGAGAAGTTTATCTCCTGTTATGGATCAGAGCTGACTTACTAACAATTTCTGAGCTTGCAGCAAATCCTCTGCTTCTAGGAAATCATAATGTTCTGTTTGAGAAATGCTTGCAATACAAATGGGAATTTTTAGTCTTGGTTTTATTGTAAAGCAAGACCTTTTTTTCTCTATAGATAACATGATCAGCTACACATGCAATGAACTTCTTAACTCTTTGCATACTGACAATTTCTCTTAAACATATTGGTCCAGTGCTTGCGTTCAAGCTTGTACTTACCGGCGTATTCATCATGTTGGATGAGAGTTCTTGAGTTCTCTTGACAGCTAATTAAGGTCGTTACATGTCGAGGCACTTTTGCTGGCTTTGGCAGGATTTTGCTATCATCCTGTTAGTCTAACCCCTGTCATTTGTAGCATTGTCCAAGCATGTGTATATATCTATGAGCGTTGTGCTTATTATTCAAATAAGCCTCAATCTTTTATTGTATAGAGTATTTATTAATGAGTTTGAACTCTGTTGTATTAGGTGAAAAATAATTCATGGTTAGAGATTATTGCTGAGATTTTCGATTGTGAAAAGTCTAGATAACCAGTGAAGTCACGTAAGAAAGCAGTTTACCTGTAAAGGCCAATAAATCAAGAGTAGCAGAAGAAGGAGATACTACGGTGTCTTAAGTTTAACGGGATGTAGTGAGCATTCTTCTCTGTGGGGGCAGATGGGTAATCTCATTAACCTTAAATAATCCAAACTTGCTTGTTTCAGATGAATAGCTTTAGGTAGCTTTCGATCATATGCTTCTGATGCTAGCCTGGTACTTCAGTCAGTATCAAGAAATCGTTCTAGTTGACATAAAGCAGAAGGTGAGGCAGTTTCTCCCCTGAAGATGTAGGAATACAGAGATTGCTCTAGTTCCTAAGTCTGAGGAAGCGGAAAAGAGGCATAAGGAGACGTGCACACACTGACATAGCTTGCATGTATGCATCATATGAGAGCCATCTTTCTAGCAGTTTTAATAGGAAATCCTGTTTTGTAGATAAATTGTGCCATCGCTTTAAGAAATTTTCCTCTATGTTTGAAAGATTAATTTTGAGTGAAAATAAGGCAAATAAAGTATAAAATAATTACCAAAGGATGAAAGAATCATGGAATAAAATGTGAAACAGCAAGATAAAATTGGTTTGTAATGTGTAGCAAACCCCCTTTTTGGTGTAAAGGAACTAATTTAAACTTTTTTCATTCTTTTCTTTCAATTGAACTCCAGACTGATGATAAAGGCGTCTTTGCAACAGATCTGTCACAAGAATACGAGCTGGTTGCAAAAACATTTAACCTGACTCGATCACAGATGTGGGATCTTTCCTATGACTCAATCAACTATATCTTTGCTTCAAGTGTAGTAAAATCAAAGCTAAGGGAACAGTGGTGTAAACTGAAGCCAACTCTGTTTGATTAATCAAACTGTTGTTCTAACCAGCTTGGGTGTGTTAGCTTAGTCAAGATGCATTTTTTACTGAAGTCCTGGGCTTTTTTCAGAATTCAGGTTTATAAATGCAGCCCATAAACTGCACCTGTGCAAGATGAAGACAACAGGAACGCATCCTTTGTTAGTGGAGACAGATCTAAGCATTCTTTCGTAGTTTGGAAGGACTCTCAACCATTGACTAAAATTCCTGTTGATGTGACATTTTTTAAAAATAGTTGAAGTATGTCACAATACGACAAATGTTTGACAGTCAGAACACAATAAAGGCAGAGCTGTTAGGGTTTAAAATGTCTGCTGGCAACATTACACCAAGCAGTTTGTATGTGTGGTGTGTGTATTTGTTTTTTGTATTATTTTTAAACAGGCGTTTTGAGCAATTGATTGAATGTGAAGACAGAAACAAACTCAGGGAGAATGAAAAATATTTGTCTCAGAGGAATTAAATATTGCATCTGTTTTTCTTGATGTACGTGTGTGACGGAAGCCTGCTGTGGGTTGTGTAGCTGTGTACGTGGTGGTGCCTCCTGATGCACTCAGCACAGGTAGCGTTTACACCACGTTAAAACTCTGGAATGCCTTGCAAACTCTGTGCTGCTTGGGGGAAAGGGTCTAATTCTTAAAATGCTTTTTAGAATTGCTGTTTGTTTCTTGTACAAAAGCAATAAAAATAGCTTGAACCTCCATATTTTCGAAACCACTACTACTTTTATATATTCTTAACTCAGACTAAACCTCATGCTTTTTATTTATAAACAGGACTTTAAATTACTTTCTGAATAGTTTCACTGATCACATTGTCTTTTGTTGTTTCATTGAGTTGCATTATCACTGTTTGATCAAGTTTTTATTTTCTTGCTACAAAAATAATTACTATGGTAAACGTATTCTTTTTCCTTTCTTATTGAAAAGCTCTCTACAGACAGGTTGAGCAGCTTTCTGGAATGTTAGTTGCATATATCTTAGTCTAAGGATAAGCAGGCCTCCACCTAGATGGAATTCTCTTGTAAAGTAAGTTTTGTAGCATTTTTATAGCTTATGACCTTGTAATGACTCCTCAATAACCTAGTATTTAATTTATTAGCAAAGAAAAACTGTTGACTTCCCGTTTCTTTACTCAGGGGTCATCCTCAGTGTTCATTTTAGCTGTGCAGGGTGAAACTTTCTAAAGCAAAGTAAGACTCGTAATTGCTGTGTTGATGAGATTTTTAGTTTCGAAGTGTTAGTGTTACACAGAAGTAAGTTTGATTTTTAAGGTTTACGTGTTGAATGGGACATGCAGATGTGTTCATTCAGAGAATATAGCCCTGGTAAATGCTGCTATTTCCAACTTCCTTTTTTTCCTGCAAGCAGAGAGTGTCTTAGAGATTTTTAACATTATGGACTGTTACACAGGTCTCAGTATTTCCATTTAATTGACTTCTGTGTGTCTTCAAAATACTGCCTTGCAATACTGGGCCCAGACAGTTTGGTATATGAGAACACGTGGATGCTGCGTAGTTTTATAATTAAAAAAATATCTTCCCTGATTCTTAATGAAACAACAGTGTTCTGGATACATGGTGAAACAGTGCTGTTATATATAGTCTGGAGTTACGGAATCACTCTTCTGAAGACTGTGTGCTTACCCTGTCACTTCGGCAGATGCACTGCTGATTCAAAAAAAACCCACCGCTTTGCTTTCAACCGTATTTATAGTGTCTTGGCTGGTAATGGAAGTAACTTGGAGGATTCCATGTGTGTGAAGTAAAAGAACCAGGAATATCTTTGGGTGGCTAAAGAATGATACACAGAACTGGGGCATTTCTGTATATTTGTATTCTGTATATCTGATTTCTAACTGGAAATGAAAGTTGGAAAGGATGTGGAGAAGTTTTGGAATGAAGAATCATCATGTGATTAGAACTTTGTCGTGCACAGTTCCCGTTGTCCATTAGAAGTTGAAACTTTACCTTCTTACTATTCCTGGGCTATTTTTCAGGAGTATAACTTTTATAAGTAAAACTGCAGAGGCTCCTTCTTCACCTTCAGGTAGGATTATAGTTAAATTTTATGCTCTCCTTGCTGAGCCTGGAGTTAACAGTGAGATAACCATTGTTTAGTTTATAATATTGTATAAAAATGACGGTGACGTACAGCTGGAGTGAAGTATCACCACTGAAGTAACCCTCAGTAATGAGGCAGAGGACCTTTTTTTTAATCTCTGAATGCAGTGGCAGTTCCAAGTAACTATTTCTAGAATTTCATATGGTATAAGGTGATGTTGAGGTAGCTATTCTGATGCAGCACAACTTGTTTTTGAAGTAAACAAAACAGATCTAGACCAAGTTAATATTTTTGTTTATTTCCATCTGATTACCAGCGCCCTTACAGAACAGTCTTCAATGCTCAGTTGTTACTCGCATCACATGAAAACGCACACTTTGGTCCTACTAAACAATCTTGTGTTTGAAGACGTATGCAAGCAGAGCACAACGCTCACTGCAGCATAATTTTCTCAGAGTTCCTTCTGAGACAAACACAGAAAGTCTTCAAAACCTCTATTCTTTATAATTAGATTGGTAACACACCACAGCTTATCATCATACAACCAGTAAACTTGTATTGACACACTACTCTTCAGGACCGTAGCTTTGCAAAAAATGTAGTTCCGCAAATGACTTACATGCCTGTTTCAATATTCAGGCATTTCAAACTAATACATTAAAAAATAATAACGTAGATAGAGCACTGCATTAGCCAAGTGCATAAGATGATTACGAGACTGGCATACCTCTTGGATGAGAGGCCTAGAGAGGTGGGGCTGTTCAGACTGGAGAAGAGAATCTCATCCATGTTTTTAAATATCTGATGGGGAGGAGTAAAGAAGATGGAGCTAGGCTCTTCTGAGTGATTCCCAGTAACAGGAAACAAATGCAGGAAATTCCACCTGAACATAAGGAAACGGTTTCTCCTATGCGGATGGCTGAACGTGGGCCACATCTCCCTGACAGGCTGGGGAGTCTCTATCCTTGCAGATATTCAAAACCCCAAGTGCCCTGCTGTAGTGGACCCTGCTTGAGCAAAGGAGGTGGACCAGGCAATCTCCAGAGATGCCTTCCAACCTCAACTATTCTGTGAAGGGAATACACAAATATACAAATGATAAAGCCTCTATATGAATAGAAAATCTTTTAAAATTAAATACTGACTTAACTCAGTCACTCAAGTGACAATTTTTCACCAGGCTTGAAGAAAAGCAGTTGACTGACTTGCGAAATTGCTTTTAAAGAATGATTTATTCATTCTTTGCAGCCTTCCTTCTTTCACATCCATTGTGGAATCCTTTAGTGCCATCAGGACCTTTAGGTAGCCGCAGCACCCCTACAGGCAGACCGTCTGCATTTTGTATTTTCCGAGCTAACATGGGGCTACTGGTGGGGCTCTTCTCTTGTGTTACAGTTTGAGCTTTTCTTCTCTGTACCCAGGGGCTACCGGAAGGAGTGATACTGCTATCCGAGGAATAATCCATACATTTCCTTGAAATTTCAGGACTAGTGCTTGGGTTAAGCTTTCTGTCTTCAGCCAGTGGAGACTTCTTGGTTACTTTTCTTAGTGAAGATGGACTGTTCCAAGGACTTGATCTGGGTGACACGTTAGGACTCAAATGGTTGTTTGAGGGAATGACAGGGCTCAAATTACTTGTGGTACTTTTGCGTCCTGACGATGGTGATGTAGGATTACTCTCTGGGTCAGAAGAGCTATTTGCTGAAGATTCATCACCAACGAACTGAAGTTCCTCAACTCTCTTATTAAGGGATCTAGCCTTCTTAAGACTCTTGCTGGTATCTTCATCATGGTTCTTGTCTTTGGGAACTTTTTTCTTTGGAGGTTTCATGCCTATTAGGACAACTTTCATGCCAGTCTCATTCTTTTCAGCACACATGAAGTCATGAGCACGTACGGCAGCATCTACTTCTTCAAATTCTATGATTGCACATTCCTGAGTTCCCAGTTGGGTGTACCGATTGCTGACCCTTCTGATATCAGGTGGTAGATCCCTGCCAGGCTTGAGAATACGAACTGATGAAATTACACCAAAAGTTACAAAGGCTTTGAGGAGGTGCTCCATTATCCTTTCTTGCATGCATCCATTTTCTTCTTGTTTCTTGAAAGCCTGCAGCTCAGCTATCATGTGGATATCATACACCAGTAACATCCTGGTAGGAAGGTTTTCACTTGGAAACACTGGAACTGGAGTATTTCTTCTAACCTTTTTTTTATCATCATTGAGCTCAAGAGTGTCCGAGTACTTCAGTGCATAGGCTGTGGTTCTCCAGTCACGGGTAAGGTGTTTCACCTTGAAGACAGACACAGGTTAAGCAGCAGAACTGATCAAACCCACTCAAACTAATTACAGAAAGTTTAAGGCAGATGCAGGGTCCAGTCTACAAACCGAAACCTGGATTTCAGTTTCACGTAGCAGACCCGAGTGAGCTATAATGGGCACCAGTGAGCTCCTGTAAAGCTCATGTCCTGTTGAATCTACTGAAAATAGGAACTGATAGTAAATCTCAAACTGAAAATCATTACTTTAGCTTAAAGCCTGCTCAAGTGATTTTTGGTCGTTCCACATTTAGGTTTGAACTGTGACCAAAATGCGTGTTCTGTGGGTTTTGTTAAATTTGCCAAACAGGTAGTTTTGTCAAGTTTAGGACTTCATTTTATTTGAACTGATTTTCCCTCCCTCAAAAACCTCAGCTAAAAAAAAAAACCCCAAACTTCTCCATTTCCAAGGAGTGTCAAGAGTTCATCTGTTACCAGTATAATCTGTTCGAAGTGGTCTGAAGAATCTAGGAGTACCTTAACTTCTAGACTGAATAGCTCTGCAAAACGTCAGATTTAGAATCTTGACAAAGTGTTTCTACTATAATTTTAGAAGTCAGTTACATACACATATTTACATAGGAGTTCTTAATGTAAAAAAAAAAAAAATAAATCATAGAATGGTTTGGGTTGGAAGGAACCTTCAAGATCATCTAGTTCCAACTCCCCTGCCATGGGCAGGGACACTTTTCCCTAGATCAGGTTGCTCAAAGCCCCATCCAGCCTGGCCTTGAACACTTCCAGGGATGGGGCATCCACAGCTTCTCTGGGCAACCTGTTCCAGTGTCTCACCACCCTCAGAGGGAAGAATTTCTTCCTTATATCTAATCTAAATCTGCCCTCTTTCAGTTTAAAGCCATTGCCCCTTGTCCTGTGACTATGTGCCCTTGTAAAAAGTCCCTCTCCAGCTTTCCTGTAGGCCCCCTTGAGGTACTGAAAGCTGCAAGAAGGTCTCCCTGGAGCTTTCTCTTCTCCAGGCTGAACAGCCCCAAATCTCTCAGCCTGTCTTCACAGGAGAGGTGCTCCAGCCCTCGGATCTTCTTCATGGCCCTCCTCTGGACCCGCAGATATAAAATCCACCTTACTTTAAATGACTTCAGTTACCAGATACTTTCTACTACTCTTAATTTTTGGATCTCTATACATTTGCAAAGGTTGGATTCATCATCCCTTCTCAGAGACAAGAGATAACTTACCAGGATTACTTAGCTACTCATAAGCAGCTGATCTAGAAATTAATTTTATCCAGTGTCCCATTTACTATGCCCCACTGTCTCCCAGAATGATAATTTAAAAGCATAGTTGCTTAAAAGCCTATGATTTCCCTAGCCAATCATGAATAAGTTCCGCAGATGGAATTCTGAGAGGCAGATAAAGAAGACAACTGTAAAACCGCCTCTATAAAATAAGTTCTTTTCATCTCATGTCTCCTAATGTTTTTAGATTCATCAAGCTTAGACAAGGCACTTCAACTCTTAAATAAAAGTTAGCTTACCTTCTTAAAAGAAGTGAGGAGTTTAACACTGACATAGCCCATCTTATTTCTTCTCACGTGCTTTAGAAGGAAGGCATCTTTCTCAAGGTTCTCATCTGAGAAGTAATATTCAATCTGTGCAATTAACTTCTGGATCAGGTCATTTTCTGGTGGCTTCCAGTTCTGGTCAGAGTCATCATCATTTTCCCCACCACTGGAAAACAATGAAATCATTTTATTAACAGATCTTCATCTTATGTTCGTGGATTCAAATAGCCTTTCAAAATGAAAAGGCCTAACTGTAATGCTGATCCCAACTTACTTTATATGTAGGCACTGAACAGGTACTACCCTATCCATCTGCAGCAGGAGGCCAGCTCAGAGGATGAAGCTTTCCAGTCAGCATAAGGAGCCAAGCTCCTGAGCTTATTCCAAACGCTGATCTCAGTGTAGAGCAATGAGACCCACACACCAGCATCTTGAAAACATCCTGCCAACTCAAATCCCACACCAAAACCTGAAATGCAGGTGCACAGGCACTCAGTGCTATACAAAGTTCCTTCAGTGATAGTGTTTTACTTTTCAGTATGAAGCTATTAAACATAGGCTTGATGTTTATGTGCTTCATGAGTAGTGTCACATATGAATGAATATTCCAACTTGATGAAATCATGTTCTCTCAAGCCTCATCACTGCATGAACACAGGAGCCAGTATCCAGGGAGTAAAAAAGACTGACAGGACTATTGCATTTCTCACGGTCACTTCCAGAGTGACAGAGTAATTTAACTAGCAGTTTACCAAGGGGTTTAAACTGTATGTGCATTTCAGATTATGGACTTTGGTGCAGTAGCAGCTCATGTACCTCAGGAACAGGTGTATATTCACACATATGCAGGTTGCTGAGAAGTCATTCTCATTTCCTCTCTGCCCTTCCCATCATGTTGTCTAGATATCTGTGTAAAATGGAGCACTACTGAGCATCCTATCACAAAAAGATATTGCAGCCATGGCTTTGAGATAAATTTCTTGCCACACACAGTTACAGCAGCATGCTTGTTGCTGAAATACAAATGACCATTTAATTTGTTTTCTAGCATTGAGGCAAATAGTTCATCCACAGACTACAGCCATAGATGTTGCTACAAGAACTATAATGCACAAGTCTATCTTAAGCCAGAGTAGGTCTTTTTTTAAAGCTGTTAGCAGTCTAGTTTTGCTGTGGGACCATCATGGAAGTTTCTGTTAAAAAAAAAGATAAAAAAATCAATCCACTAAGCTTCCTAGACCCTCTAAATCATGTATTAGTTTGGTCTCCCACATACCTCAGCAACAAAAAAGGATTACACATTTTCCCAAAATTGTCTTAAATGGCTTTTGCAGAGCTCGTGAACTCATTAAACAAGGGAGCAGGCATCACACACGGGGGCAATCAGGCATAGAGGATGCAGGCTACTGAATCATCTTGCCTTGTGGCAGTTTTGTTCCAGAGATAAACTGGAGACTGATCTTCAGGCTGACTGGCATGCCGCCCACGCCTGAGCGCAGGCAGCTGCCTGCGGTACAGCTGAAGATACTGTTCAGGGCAGTGGGCTCTGCAAAGGGAACGTGCTCCCCAGTGTGGTGAGTTACAGCAGTTCTCTGGGACCTGGCTTTTGAAGCTAAAGATTTATGTACTCGTTATGGTACTCCTGATGATAGGGCAATGCATCAGATATACATGGATACTCAAACAATCCTAGAAGTCTCTTTGTTAAAATCTCCCCAGACACTTAATGGGGTACAGTTCAAAGGAATGACGGTAGTGAGACAGTGAGAAAAAATTTAAGTTACTTGATAATGCCAGAAGTGGAGGATAATAGGTGATTAAGACAGTAAAAAACATCTGATGGCCAGCTGTGGGTACTAGTTTCAGAAGGAAGGAAAAACAAGGTTAAGTGTTTTATTTTTCATTCGTGATAGTCCCTTACCTCACTACTTCTCATTTTTCATTCACTGCCGATTCAGAACTAGTGTGGGCACAAGAAACTTAAAGCATTTCAGTGTTTTTACATATTCACACTCTGCTAAGAAAAGCTTACCTTCAGTTTAGCGTGGAGCTTACAAGTTTATATTAGAGGATTTATTAGTACAGACATTTGCAGATATTTGGAAGGTTCAGATAGAAAGAAAACGGAGCATCATGCTTGGGAAAAAAAAGTGAACTGCATGTTTGCAAAGATCAGTACCATCCTTACAGCGTTAACACACTGAATCAGAGTGAAATAGGTCTCATTTCACTTCTAAATTAAATACTGGTCGCAATCTGAACTATACATTTCGATATTTGGCAGATGGTTCAGCTTTTAAAAAATTCTTTATGGCTCTTACAACAGGCTTTACTAAGTACTGTATGGAAATTCCACCTACAGCAAATGCAGAAATTTGTAATTAGCTCCATATTAATTCATAGTAATGATCCAACTAGTAGTACCTCCAGGGTATCAACTGCTACGAAGGTAGTTGATACATCAATGTCAGTCGTTATTCACAACTTTCATTTACTTCTTTCTTTCCTCAGAGCTTTGTGATGGATATGCTTGTCAAAACAGTTAGGACAGACTGAAAAACAACCTTTTAACATGGTGACTTATCTGGCAATTAGTCACACAAGAAACTAAACACATATCTGCATAGATTCTGGGTTTTAAATATCAAAACTCACCAACAATGTATTAATTTGTCTGGATAGAGTCTAATCTTTTGACAAGTTTTTGCTGAGTGTTGAATACGGTCTTGTGTTAATAAGCACTATAATTTACAGCATCAAGTTGATGTTCCAATAGTACAAACACTCAAAGGCAGTTCAAGTCTGTTAACAAAAACTAGTGGACACAATACTGGGTGCCTACTAATGGGACGTGTGGCTGCAGCAATCATTAAATTTCAATTTCTATTGTGAACAACATCATAAAAACATTCACCTTTCAAGCTCAGATTCTTCCTGTGTCTGTCTACATCCAAAATAAGTCCTTAAGCTGAGCTAGAATAGCTTTACTTTATGCATAAGAGAACCATTTGTTTGTTATAAACAGTCTGAAGGTTTTTCTGAAGCACCTGGCAGCTAAATGGCTGAGGACTGAATGTCACAAATACTCAGAGATCTCCCAAAGAACTGTGGTGTCTTGACCATGAGGAAATGGTTTTAATTTCTGAAGTTATAAAGCCGAGTAATTGAGGGGGAAAAAAAAATCCAAAATCAAATTTGTCTGCTAGCTTAGCTGGAGAGTGAATCGGCTCATTCTCAGCAGTTTTAAACCATGACTGACAATTTTCCACATTTTTGGGTAAATAGTTTCCTATAGATGTTGCATTCCGAAAAGCAAATCCTTAGCTAAGGTTACATGTAAATGGCAGAAGCATGTGTGAACTCCACTCACCTACTTTTGATGTAGAGCCTTTACAGTTCTCTCCATGGCAATACCCCTGGCCCTTCCTGGATCAGGAAGAGGCCATTTACAAAAAGGCAACCTCCACAAGAACTGAATACACACCAGCACTGTCAGCAAACATTTCTGAAGATAGCACCTACTGTAGAGGATTAAATAAGCAGCATTTAAGAGTTAGCTATTATGTGTTACAAAGCTTGAAAAAATAACCATCCTTTTTTCTAGTCTAGGCCAGGGCTAGAAGCTCTTACACAAGTAACACGGTCAAAGAAAGCAAATGTAAAAAATATTCAGAATTTAAGAAATCAGTAATTGGAATGCAACAGTGTAGACTGCTGTACACATTTGATTGATAAACATACAACAGTCACATATCATTGTGGAAAGACTAAGTAGACTCAGTTTAAACATTTTACATGCTCACCTCCTGTTTCTGTAGTGATTAGTTAACTCTGGCCGCTGCAGAAAATTCCCCCTCCCCAACTACCTCTCTGTAATTTAAAACAATGCATTGCAGTTCATTCTGAGACAATGCTACGATTCAAAGTTAATCTTTTAGAAACAATTGATCTTTGAACACAATACTGAATTTCATGCTACCATACCTAAATCTTTATGTGACTTAAATTATTATTGCATCTACAGCTTTAGTACAAAACATAAGATGAACTGCAACTGGTGATCTTTGTCTCTCTGCAGTTTTCTGGCACAAAAGTCCTGGATGTTCCCTTTACAAGTAAGAGATTCTGGTAGGCATCAATAATAATTTCTGCAACTTATCATGAAATACAGACAACACTATTGGCATTATCAAAAAGTAAAGCATAGAATAAAGGGTCAGTTACGTCTGCATTTAAACTGGTCTTGATGTCGTGTCTGGTCAACTTGTTTCCAAAGCCATAGAACAGGCTTGTCCATGTCTTAATTCTGCTAAGGAAAATCTCTACGGTTCTATGCAATACAAGACAAGCAGAAAACAAAACAAACCAAACAACCAAAACCCCACAACAACCAACCCCAAACCCCTTTCTGTAACAGGCAGTGAAGGGAAATGTCGGGGCACACCGGCCCAGCGCTTCGCGCCGTAGGGAGGGGCCACGGCCCGCTCCCCATCTACGGCGGTGC